GCTGCCGTGTGGTGAGCTGACTCTGGACACTAGAAGGCTCAGGCATTTCCCGGTGTGGTTTTCCACTAGGCAGCTTTCCTGCCTTTCTCAGAATCACAATTCAAGTTCCTTCTCAGTCCGATGGAAAGTGATTCTTCCCTGACCCTTCCTGGGGTGTTTGATTAAGTTGCCCTCAGTGGAGTATTTTTTTTGGGGGGTGCAGGTGGCAGGGTCTCATTCTTGGGCCTGCTGGCCTGGAACTTGGTCCATAGAGTGTTTGTCTCTGCCAGTCTCTTCAGAGATTAAAGGTGCATAACCTGTCCACCTCCCTCCAACACTGTGCCTTACAGAGCCTTAGCCCCTAGACAGCCTGTGTGCCACTGCCCAGTGCTGTGCTTGACAGCTGTGCTCAGACACTGAGCCTTCCCACTGTCTTCCACACTCAAGGTTCTCCTACTTTCCCTCCACCTGCCTGTCTACTTGGCTTTAGCTCCTCTGGCCGGTGCATTCCGTCCAGACATCCGGCCCTTTGCCTTTAACCCTCTTTCTCACTTAGAAATCCATATTAAGGGGCTAGGGACGTAGTTCAGGTGGTACAGTGCTTGCTTGTTATAACCTACCTTCCCCTAGATTAAACACTTGGTATAATCTTAGTACTTACAGGTGACAGCAAGAGGAGCTGGAGGTCAAGGTCAGCCTTGGTTTCCTAACAGTTTGAGTCCAACCTAGGCTCCAAAAAAACAACCTGAGACTCTTAAAAAGCAAAACAAGTACTACTATAAGGTTCGGCTCAAGTCTCACTACAGAGTTCATGACCTTTCCAGGGTCTTTTTTAGTCTTCTACCAGGGCTCCATTGGCTTTGGTAGCAGTTGTGAAATAGCCTCTACAGGCTCTTAAATCAGCAGTTCTCAACCTGTGGGTTATGGTAACTGCATATCAGATATTAAAGTTAGGAAGTAGCAATGAAATGATTTTATTTCATTTCACACAACATGAGCTGTGTTAAAGGTTGCAGCATCAGGAAGCCTGAGAACCATCGTCTTACAGTGATTCAGATCCTGTTCACTTGCATATTTTATTCTTATAACCAAGCAGTTCTTATTGTCAGTGGTCTAGTTAGTACGTGAGCATGCACAGATATTGGGCATACATTTGGTAGGACAGCATGTTGTACCTGTTTCTTCACTCTTCCCACTCCCATCAAAAAGCCTACCCATCTTCAACCATTTTTTGGTGCATCCTTTGGGTTCCTTTTATCTATTTTTTTAAGAGGCAGAGTCTCAGCCAGGTGGGGCGGCATATGGCTTTTCAATTCCAGCACTCAAGAGGCAGAGGCAGGCAGATCGATGTGGTTTCCAGGCCAGCCAGGACCACATAGCCTGTCTCACAGCAGAAACCCTAGCACTGCTGACTCTGCCTCTTGGCAGGGTGCAGCTCCTCAGTGAATGGCTCACACTCCCTCTCAAAATGAGGGCAGGGCGGCAAAGGGAAATGGAAGGAGGGTCTTGTGTGTCCCAGCTGGCCTGTGAACTCAGGTAGCTGAGGGTGACTTGGACTTCTAAACCTGCCTCCTCCTCCCAAGTGCTGGCATTACAGCTGTGTGCCTGCCACCAAGCCCAGTGACTGCAATGCTGTTGAACCCAGGGTTTTGTGCATACTAACCAAACACTACTGAGCTGCAGCCCCAGCCCAGCCCTTGCTCTTTTTCTAAACGTGACATATTTGGGGAGGAGTTAAAATACGAGTTCACATCACATGTGCTGTTTTACTTCTTAAATTGAAGCTTATATATTTGTCTTGGGAATTTTCAAAGTATAGTTAGAGATTTCAATGATTTTTCATCTAATAGTTCAACAATTTATTAAAAATAAAACATTTGGCTAGGTGTGGTTTGAATGCTTGTAATGCCAGCATTTGGGAGGTAGAGGGACTGGAGTTCAAGGCTGAGCTGGTGAGATGCCAGACCACCTGAGTTCTACATGGGACCTGATGCAGTGGAGCAGCGCTCCCTCCCCACGTTGTCTTCTGGTGCCACACATACCGTGGCACCTACCTTTGTGTAAACACATGGCACGAGTACTTCTCCATACGTGTCGTCACACATGCCTGCCTGTGAACACGTGCTGTAAATAAATGGATTTTTAAAAGGGGGTTTAAGGCAACTTTGCTTTGACACCAGGTTACAAGAAACGGTTTGAAAAGTCAAATAAAAAGCTTGTCCAGTGTCATGCAGCAGCTGGTACCTAGGGGCTCTAGGCATGTCTTCCTTTGTCCTTGTCGTCTGTGTGCTGACCCCTTGACGGAAACAAGAAGAGAGAAGTTGTGCACAGTGACTACACGGGAGAAGACTTGAGACACTTAACTAGGAGAGTTAGAACTTGGAAAGAGCTGACGTCCTGGAGGGCTAGAACAGGTAAGGGGCGCACCGAGCTGAGAACACACACATAGACTCGTCTGAAGCCAGACCATAGTCCAGAAGCAGGGAAATCTGATAACGTTGAATATGCATTTATGTGTCAGGCATGAACACTGAGGATATAAAAATGAGTCACGAAGCTGTCTCTTGCCTCACTCTCTTCAGAGCCAAGGGTGGTTGGACACACCTATTATCTCAGCACTTAGGAGTCTAAGGCAGGAGGAACCCAAGTTCAAAACTTGCTATGTAGACCAAGTTGGCCCCCAACTCAGGAATCTGCCTGCCTCTGCTTCCCGAGTGCTGGGATTAAAGGTGTGCACCACCACTCAACAGGCCTGGACTATAGAGGCTTTCAGTTTAACGGGAAAGGAGGGCTGGGTGAGAAGCTCTTGCTGGCATGTCAAGGTTTTAGTCACTGGGCAGTATGTAAGCTTTCGGTGATGTGGCAGGTGACATGAATGTATGTAGCAATGTACAGAATGATCTAAAGAGCTTGGGAATGCGACTTGCCTTTAAAGGACAAAAGTATGATAAATAGAACTTTCTCTCTCCATTAGAAGGTGTTTGGTGGTAGGTAATCCAGGACTAGCATGGGGGTCTCCACTTAGCAAAGGCCCAAACTTCCATCTTTGTGTTTCACCACCTAGGACCTCCCATCATCACGGTCCAATATGATTGCCACAGGATAACTCATTCTGGGCACAGAAAGAAGGGAGACCGATTACGAGAGGAGTAGAGCATGAACTGATGTGGGTCCTAGCTTGGTCAGTGCCTTTTGAGGAGTCAGACAGTGCTTTAAACACATCTGTTGAGGACTTGTTACCACTCTGTCTCCAAGAGAGAGTTGACATGTAGTTTTGTATTTGCCCAAATATATATTCATACAGTAAGATACACGGAATTTTTTTTTCTTGGTGCTGGGGATTAATTTCCAGACAAGCATCTTACTGCTGAGCTATATCCCTAGCCACATGCACAAATCTTAGGCACACGTTTGGTCGCTTTTAAAAAGTGAATCCATCCATGTAATCCCATATCCTTAATATGTACAGTATTCCCTCAGCCCCAGGAGTTCCTGCCGGCTGTCCTTTTGGCGAATTTTTGAGAAAAGGTTTTATAAGGCTGGGATTCTAGGTGTACATCACTATACACCATACCCCACTGTACATGAGGGTTCTGAGTGTTTGATACAGTTTGACTAGGTAGTCCTAAATGGCCTGAAACTCAAGAAATTTGTCTGCCTTCTGAGTGTTGGGATTAAAGGTGTGTACCACCATACCTGGCTGGCAATGAGTTATTTTTTTAAGATTTATTTGCACTTATGTGTATGAATGTGTGTATATCTGTATGCCTCGTGTGTGTGGGTTCCTGTGGTGGCCAGATGAGGTGGAGACCTTGGAGCTGCAGTTACAGGCATTTTTGAGCCATTTGGTACGGGTTCAGAGAGTTGACTGTGGTCCTTTGGAAGAACAGCAAGTGCTCTGAACCACTAGTTCATCCATCTAGACCATGACATTGAAGGTTTTTATTTATTTATTTTTAAATAATTCCTAGGTTAGGGACATCAACATCAATCCAGTGCCTGAACTGGATTCCCCCCAGTACCACAAAACAGAAAATGAGAGCTAAATTAGCCAAATTAGCATGGTCCTAGAAATGGAGGCACTGGAGAGGCTGCAGAAAGAGAACCCAAAGGAGACCAATTAGAAATTTGAGGTAGAAGAAGTCACAGAGTACTAACAGAGAACCGTCGGAAAGGCCAGGGCAGGAAGGGCAGGTTGTTCGAGGAGAACCGTCAGAAAGGGCAGGTTGTTAGAGGAGAGCCTTCAGAAAGGGCAGGTTGTTAAGAGGAGAGCCTTCAGAAAGGGCAGGTTGTTCGAGAACCGTCAGAAAGGGCAGGGCAAGAAGGGCAGGTAGTTCCAAATACGAGGAAGTGTGTGTTGGCTGAGGGGCTTGCCACACAGGTGCAGTTGTGTCTAATATCAGTGCTAGAGAGAACCATGAACCAAGAAACTGCCTGAGCATGGTATGGAACGACCCCATGACAGCTTTTGAGTGACCGGGATCTAGGTACCACAGCTTAAGTTTTCAGGAAGGGTTTGAATCATGAAAAGGGAAACTGGTAAGACCGCCTAAAATTACTAGAACCCCTTCTAAAAACTGAAGCCCTTGCACAAACACAAGACGGCAGCACGGTGCTGTTGTGGAAGGGTGTTGAGGGAAAACAGGAAGGAAAAGGTCAGTGACTCCAGGACAGAGGCTTTCTGAACGTAACCGAGGGCAGAACATCCAGGAGAGGTGAAGAGTTGGCTGTCTTGGACACCTGCCTCTGCCAGCTTAGTGGGAGGGAACATATCTTAGAAGAACAGAGAACAAACGCGGTCTTGTGCTTGAATCCTGTCGGTCACCAGTTGGCATGATGACCTCCTTGGGCAGGTTCCTTAGCTGTAAAATGGGAATAATTGTGCCTCCCGTGATTCGAAGGTTAGCGACTAACGCCCCCTTTACAGTGGTAATGAAATGGCAAATAGGTGCTATCACGTGACCATCGTCATGGGCCGGAAAGGCCAACAGAGGGGTCAGAATTCGCAACCTCGGATCACAGCGTACGGAATGCTGGCTTCTTCCCTCTAGGAGGTGGGGACAAGCAGGGGGAGGAGGAGCTCGCTCCTTGCGACCCGCCCATACCAGTCTGGCCTGGAGCTGAGGTGTCCTGGTCGCCTGCACGCGCACAGCCTGTCCTGGTGCCCCGGTACCCCAAGCAGGTCTGGTCATGTCCCTGCGCCCTTTGCTCTGGCCGCTCCAGCTGCTGCTGCTGCTGCTGCTGCTGCTCAATGGGGCGGTGTGCCGAGCTGAGGCTGGGCCAGAAACCGAAAGTCCTGTCCGGACCCTCCAAGTGGAGACCCTGGTGAGGAGACTGCGGCGCCACCCCCCAAACCCTCCCTCTCGCCCCCCTTCCCCGCCACCCTTCAAGGCTAAGGGGTCGTGGGGGAGCACGGGGGGGGGGCTCTAAATGAACCTGTGAACGAAGAGGAGAAGTGATGGACCTGAGTTGGGGGAGAAGGTGCTGGGTCTCGATGTGGTAACAGGGTTTTAGGAGGAGCAGCTTTGACCCTTGTAGTCCGATCATAGGTACAGCCCCCTGAATCGTGTACAGAATCCGCTGCCTTTGGAGACACGCTCCACATCCACTACACGGTGAGGGGCCTGGGGGGCCGGGGCGTGGTCTGGGAGGGGGCGGCGCCCGAATGAAACACGTCAGCTTTGGCTTGGACACGTGGCAAGCTGTGCGAGAGAACTTAGGGTCCGTTAGCACGTGGGGGCGGGAGTGGAAGGTGCCCTTGCCTGCTTCTTTCTTTCCCTGTTTTCCGCCAGTTACTTTCCAGCACTGAGAAGTGAAGGGTGGAGAGATCTCCAAGAAGTGTTGGCCCTTCGGGGCTTCCTCTTCCTTTTTGCTCCATGAGGGTGGGGGTGGGAAGGGGGACAGGATGCAAAGCAGTTCCGAGGGTTGCCGCCATCCCATCAGGCGGTCCCACTGTGTGTGGCCTGCTGGGAGGAAAGACGGGGTCAGTTCTTGCTCTTTGTCTTTAGGGCAGCTTGGTAGATGGACGCATTATTGATACCTCCCTGTCTAGAGACCCTCTGGTGATAGAACTTGGCCAAAAGCAGGTGATTCCAGGTATGTCACCCGCGCCTTTGCTTCCTAACCTTAGTGTCTTGATCGTCTGAGGTAAGCTGGAAAGGATCCTAGGCTGAATAAGACCCTAAGGATCTTCACCTACCTTGGGTTCAGATTCTCTTCTTGACCCACACATCACTGGGGGCTAACAGTTTAAGAAGTGGAGTAAAGCTTGCTTGAGGAAGGGCGATGGGGTGTCTTTGATTTTCTTCTTGGGTGGTGTGTAGCCTCTAGTTTAGTTGCATCTTCTTCCTCAAGGTCTGGAGCAGAGCCTTCTGGACATGTGTGTGGGGTGAGTATCTGGACAGGGGCGGGCCTGACTGCCCCTTTCTCTGCCATCCCAAGTCTCCAGGAGGAGGACATTATATATATATATAAAGGAGCCCTGACTTCACACTGGACCCCTGAGGGCACCTGTCGGTTTTTGGGGGGAATGGAGTTGTGTAGGGTGATTGGTACCTTTACTGGTCAACCTGTTAGGTGGAAAAATTCACATTTTGATGCCACTATCTGAGGTGGGAGGAGCTTCTGGTGGTGCTGGGCCAAGGTTGCCAGCTCACCTCTCTCCTGCCTGCGGCTCATTCCCTCCCTCAGAGAGAAGCGAAGAGCAGTCATCCCTTCTCACTTGGCCTATGGAAAGCGAGGGTACCCGCCAACCATCCCAGGTAATTGAGTAGGTCTTTTCTCCCGGTCGTCAAGATGGAGCCCCAAGAGCCACACGCAGTGCTCTGTCTAGAACTTGAGAAAGTCCAGATCAAATTTGAGGAAAGAAGTAGCTGGGACCCTCTCCTTCTGACCATGCTTTCTCTCCAATAGAGACTACAGACAACCTGTTAGGGCTACCTGGCTTGACCTTAGGCAGCTGGTGACCTTTGGCACCTTCTTGAGCCACGTGGGTCTTGCTGCCTACAATACTTATCCCAGAACACTAAAACTCAAAACAAACCAAAGGGTGACCTTCAGGGCCCTCACGTAGAGCGGATAAGGAGGTGGCCCTGGCAGCTGGTTCCTAGAACTCACCTTCAGGTACTACTACTGATACCTGTTCTGAAGGGCGGAGGTCGGACAGATTTTCCAATAGGTACCTCTTGCTTTGCATTGGAACACGTGCTCCACTAGGTAAAATGTGATCTGCTCCACAGAATGCAGAGGCAGGTGGATCTCCGTGGGTTTGAGCCCCAGCCTGGTCTACATAGTGAATTCCAGGACAACTGAGACTACAGAGCGAGATCCAGTCTCAAAAATAAAACACATCAAAAAAAAAAAAAAAAAAAAAAGAAGAAAAGAAAACCAAAAACCTCTTAGAAAAACTCTCCCCGTTCCCATGCTGCGTGTTTGCTTCATCTGAAACTGTCTGACTCCTGTCCCCCTCAAGCGCCTCCCTCCTGTTTTCCAGCCCTTCTTTGAAACTCCTCTAAGAACCGTATTGTATGTGCTCATCAGTGTCTGGGATTTTTGAGGACATCTGCTTTTATTACAGTTAATTATAGCTCTGCAAAACCCTATCCATGTGGCTATCTGGAAATGGGATCCATTTGGTACAGAGGAGTCTCAACACATGTAAATGCTCACTTGTGGGGCCAGACAGACGTTCAGCTGTTAAGAGTTCTGGCTGCACTTGAGGATCCAGGTTCAGTTCCCAGCACCCATGTGGTGGCTCAATCTGTAGTAGTTCCCGGGGAAAGTGACCCCCTCTCCTTATGCTACATGGTGCACAGACATACATCAGGCAAGCTATTCATATCCATAAAATAAAATCTTTAAATAAAAAATAATGCTCAATAATAATAATGTAAATGTGAAAGAACCTGCAAGTTTCCCATGCACAGATTTCCTGTGCTGTCATTGAGTCCGAGCCACGTGTTTAGTTGTAGTTAAGGTCAACACGAGTGTCCTCAGCCTGCTCCTAGCCCTCCTTTGCCTTTTCTGAGGGAGCCCACCCCACATTTCAGATTGCCAGAATCAGTTATTTTCTACAGCCTACCCTGACTTGATCCCAATTCAGAGCTCTGGATACATCACAGCAATTTTCCACACCCTCCCGACCTCTCCAGCGGATGCAGTGGTGCAGCTTCCAACCCCTCCCCCACCCCTGCCTCTCCAGTGCATGCAGTGGTGTAGCTTCCAACCCCTCCCCCACCCCCTTCTTCCCCAGTGGATGCAGTGGTGCAGCTTCTAATACCCCCTCCTCTGCCTCTCCAGCGGATGCAGTGGTCCAGTTTGATGTGGAGCTGATTGCATTGTTTCCAGCCAACTACTGGCAAAAGCTGCTGAAGCGCTTTTTGCCTCTGGTAGGCATAGCTATGGTGCCGGCACTCCTGGGTCTGATCGGGTATCACCTATACAGAAAGGCCAGCAGACCCAAAGTCTCCAAAAAGAAGCTGAAAGAAGAGAAACGAAACAAGAGTAAAAAGAAATAAATAGTGATCTTTAACAAAACTTTGTATTCTTCACTTGATTCTACCACCCCCTTTTTCTTTAACTTTTTACTGTGTGTGTGTGTGGGGGGGCTGGAACGTGGAGGTCGGACAGCACTGTGAAGTTGGTTCTCTCCTAACTGTAGCTGGGTCCCAGAGACTGAACTGAGCTCATCCAAGTAGAGAAACAAGTGCTTCACCTGTTCAGCCATCTCTGGGGCCCCCTTTTCTTCAAAGATGGGACCTTGCATTTGTAGCCCAAGTTGGCCTCAGGCTCATGAGCCTCCTGGCTAGGCTGCAACTATGGATACTCACCAACACTCTGCTAGCCCAGTGCTTCGAGGCTGCTTCCTTCCTTCCTTCCTTCCTTCCTTCCTTCCTTCCTTCCTTCCTTCCTTCCTTCCTTTCTTTCTTTTTTCTTCTTCAGTTTTTTTTGAGACAGGGTTTCTCTGTAGCTTTTGGAGCCTGTCCTGGAACTAGCTCTTATAGACCAGGCTGGCTTTGGACTCGCAGAGATCCGCCTGTCTCTGGCTCCCACCCGGTGAGGCTGCTTTCTTGGATAGAAAAAAGAACACTGTGAAGCTGGATCTTGCCTGTGGTTGAGTAGCTGGAGGCCTTGGAGCACACTTCTTCCTCTGGCCTGTTCTTGCTGTCCTAATTTACCCCAGGAAACTGGTTTTGAATCTGCCTCTGGGTCCCTTGGGGTATATATTTGGCTCCCATGGTGCCATGATGCTGAGGAGGAAACATTTCTAGGCATTCTCTCCCTGGGACCAGAATGTTCCTTGTATCCTTGAATATGGCAAAGATAATAAAGATCTTACAAGGACTGAGAATAAGGCTCAGTTGGTAGAATGCAAAAAACCCTGAGATCATCTGCAGCACCAATAAAACAGGTGCATGCCTGTAATCCCAGAGGAGGCAAGAGGACCAGAAGTTCAAAGTCATCCTCAGCTACATGGGGAGTTTGAGGCCTACATAAGACCCTAATTTTTGTTTTTGTTTTTAAAGGATCTTATAAATTCTTTTGAAAGAATAATTTGTTAGATCTGGAGAGATGGCTCAGCAGTTAACTGCACTGGCTGCTCTTCCAGAGGACCCAGGTTCAATTCCCAGCACCCACATGACAGCTCACAACTGTCTATAACTCCAGTTCCGGGGATCTGACTGAAAGACCCTACAGACCCCCTCCTCAAAACCCGCAGCAGCCAGCCTGCTCTCGTAAGAACATCCCATGTGCTTGAGAGAGCAGGATGAGATAGGAAGACTGCAAGGCAGGATATCAATAAGATAGGACATCAACAAAGCAGGTTGACTGCAAAACAGGATATCTATAAGATAGGAACAGGATGACTTTTGCTGACACCCATGCTGAGATAGGAAACCATTCATGCCCCCGCCTCATCCCGATAACCATGCTTTTGCTTCTGTAAACTTGCTTTTTGCTCTTCCCTATAAAAAACCCGCCCTCCAGTCGGCAGGCGCACAAGTCTTCTGAGAGATCTTGCCGCCCGCAGGTACCTGTGTCTACTCAATAAACCTCTTGCGATTTGCATCCGTGCGGTCTCGGCCTGTTCCTTGGTGTTGGGGAGGTCTCCTCCCGAGAAAAGGTCCTCGTCGAGGGTCTTTCACTGACAACCTTCGCATAGATACATATGCAGGAAAAACACCAATGCACATAAAACTAAAAATAAATCATGAAAAAATTGTATTATTTAAAAAAGAATAATTTATTGGTTATACTTCGCGGGATAGTGGCAGTCAATTACTAGAGTACTGTCTGGAGCCTCCATCTAAATTTGTAATACCAAAACACTCAGGTTTCACAAAAAAGTCTTGGGTTCCTTGGATCACAGGGTACGGGAGACAATGTGGGCAGCTTCGATGACGTTGTAGGTGGTCGGAGGTCCTCTCTCGCCTGCCTGGGCAGGTGCGGACAGCTGGGGCAGGTTACTCCTGTGGTTTACTATGAAGAGCGGGTTGAGCTGGCTCAGCACCTCATCGCTCACGGAGATACCGTCCAGGTACTGTTTGAGCATCTCCCTCAGCTTCCTGCTGATCTCCAGCAGCTGCACGCGTCTGTGCTGCAGGCTCAGCACCTCCAGCTTCACCTTATTGTATCTTTTCCAGAAGTTCTCCATCCCTGAGTAGTCCGCCATCACCTGAGAGCGGAGGCAGAGGAGGGAGGGGTGTGGTGGTCCCCTTGAGCAAATGCTGCCCAGCCCCCACCCTCCCCGTCCTTTACCTTGGCCAGCTCCTCTGTGAGCTCTTCCGGGTTCTGTCTCTCCATTTCCTCCTGCTCCATGGGAGTCAGGACTGAGGAATAGAAAGGCAGGACTTTTTCTTCCTCTGTTTCAAATTTCCTACAGATTTCAGCAAGTTTAAGGATCTTTTCACCCTGTTGGGAAGGAAGAGGCGCCTTAGGGAAAACAAGATGGATCCCTGCTTGAGTCCAGGAAAGCGGCTCCAGCAGCAGGAAGCCCATCTCAGTCAGTGCCTGCCCCGCGCTAAGCTCTCTCCCAGCAGTTAACATCCTCACAGGGCACAGCTCGGTACCTCGGTATCACATTGTCTTCTCTTCCGCTAAGAAAGGCGTTTCCTGGGGGATGAGGAAACACACATGCGCAGACACACAGAGGGGAATCTTGGGAAGCTGGGGAGCCCCATCTCTTAGGGAGGCCTGGGGGGTTGAGGTTGAGAAGCTTTAAAGAGTCTTCCCCCTACTTTAGGCTTCATCAGTTTGAAGTCAAATAGTAGGGTTGGTTGGTCTGCAAATGTGTGAGGTGGGTCCTGATCAGGCCTTGAACTTCTTGAGCCAACCCATCAGCAGGGGGCCTGCAGCGGGAGACAAAAGCTGCCAGGCTTTTCTCTCAGGAGGTTGAGGAAGAAGTGGCCATCTTGAAAATCCACCACCTTTGTTACCCAGCTCTTCCTCTCCTATGGGGAGTTTGTCCAACTTCTGGTCTCTCATCACCTGTCTCAGAGGTCACCCTGACTGCTCTTAGGGTGTTTAGGGGTGATGACCACTGCTCTTAGCTGCTTTAAGCTGACAAAAGGTCAAGACTGGGGGGCCAGCCTCAGAGGAAGGTCTGTCTAAGGGGCTGCAGTGAAACTTAACCTATGGTGAAGATCCAGAGCATACGACAGCCATTGGGGACAGTGTGTATCTTTGGAGCTTGTCATACGACTGAAAAATAGCATCTTGATGAGTTGGTAGGCCGCCTCAAAGGAAATCTAGAGATTAGGCCCCCAAATGATACTGTCTTCAGAAGAAATCCAGAGACAAATCCCCCAAAATGAGGCAGTCTAGAAATAATACAGTCTAGAGGTCCTAATTGGTTCGTTTCCTCTGCTAGTTAAAGAGTTAAAAAGCAGGAAAAACCTGAAAGACATCAGGTAGTATTATATTCAGGGGCCTCATCCCAGCCCCTGGCATCTTTGGAATACTGGGCAGGATCGCCATTTCAAGCCCCCTCCCCTGGGAGTTGCCTTGGCCTGAACTCCACCTCTGGGAAAGCCCGCCAAGCGGTGACCCCTCCCCAGGGAGGGTCAGGACCACTCCCACAGGCTATTTAGACTGCACCCCCAGAGAATGTACATGTGGTCTCCTCCCCCACCTCGCCATGCTTTCCCAGTGCCACTGGGAGTGCTGCATTAACCATGGGCATCTTTTATTCAATCTAATTTGGTCTGATTGGAATTATTTGCATTGGCAGAGAGGCTCATCTAAGAAATATTCCTGGGCTGGAGAGATGGCTCAGTGGTTAAGAGTACTGGCTGCTCTTCCAGAGGTCCTGAGTTCAATTCCCAGAAACCACATGGTGGCTCACAACCATCTGTAATGAGATCTGGCATGCGGGCATACATGGAGGCAGAACATTGTATGCATAATAAATAAAATCTTTTAAAAAAAAGAAATATTCCTAACAGGTAGCAGCAGAGAATCTCAAGCTCGTGGAACCGCAGAGTCACAGACAGAATCAGCAGTTGGAGGAGAGGAAACCTCATGCGTCAGACACGCAGAGAAAAAGACCCTGTGCAAGGCAAAGTGGGACTCGACTGGGAAGCTGAAAAATCCCTGTTCATTTAAAAAAGAGAACGGAGTAGAAAGGAAGGAAGGAAGGAAGGAAGGAAGGAAGGAAGGAAGGAAAAAAGAAAGAAAAGCTAACACAAACATCCACTTAATGAGGAGGGAGGAGGGAGCCCTGCCCCATCTTTCCTGAATCCCTTTTGCCTCCAGCCAGGTTTCTTGGTTTTGTCCCTTTTACCTTCTCGACGACCTTTTTCAGGTCCTTGAGGGTGGCATTACTTTCCAGGGTGAGTTTGACTAAATTCTCCTGGGACACTCCCCGAGCCTGCGTTCTTTGGGCCTTCAGTTTTCGCAGCTGTACATGGACCAGCTCCTTGTCATTGCGGATGCACTGGTTCTGCCATTCACTTTCACGGCTGTGGGCTGTGATCTTCCCTTTCAAGATCCCTATGGCCTCCTAGAGGGACAGTGGGGACCATTGACAAAGGCAGTTGAAGGGTAGACTGAGGACTAAGAGCAGAGCGTCATCTTGACCCAACCAGTGAGAGACCCAAAAGAATTTGGGAAGGCAATGGACAGATGGGTGTCTCCAAGTGAGCACTGACCTGCAGCTTCTGGATTTTTTTCATCTGCATTTCAATCTCTTTGGAGCTTTTCTCGTCCTTCACCTTCAGAGTCTCAAAGGCAATCTTCCGGTCCTCCGTGGCATCGGTATAGTTCTTGAGCGCTTCCTGGAACCTTCTCCACAGATCCTCCACTATGTTCTCCAGTTGTAGACGAAGAAAGTGCTTCTCTTCTAGATTCTAGGGAATGTGTCCCAAATACCAAAAGCTTGGAGCTACCCTCTTAGTGCCCGCTCATGCCCTCCAGCAGCCTTACCCTCGGGAGCGTTGTTTAGTGAATTGCATTCAGAGTGGGGCATTGTGACCCAGAAAGGAAAGCGTGGGGGTGGGCCCAGCTCCATGAGAATGATGCCAGTTAGAAACAGAATGAGGAGCCAGGCAGAAGAGACACGTCTCTGTGAGTTCAAGGCCAGCCTGGTCTACAGAGCAAGTTCTAGGGAAGGCTCCAAAGCTATACAGAAACCCTGTCTTGAA